TATAATAAATATGATTCTGAAATGGGCCAATCTGCATAATGAGTACTTTTACTTTTGGTACTTTAAGCATATTTAGATGCCAATACTTTTCTACTTTCACTTGAGTAACATTTTAATTATGGACTTTTACTTGTAACAGAGTATTCCTACACTCTGGTACTTCTACTTTGAATTAAGTACAAGATCTGAGTACTTCTCCCACTTTTGGTGAAAGCCTGTCTCAACAGCCGCAAACATTGCTCTACTCTAATTTCCACGATATCTAAAAACTTTCTTTCTCCATCAATACATTGCTATCGCTTTACATTTACTTTTTAAGAAAGAAAACAATTTAAACGAAGGAACACGGTGTGAATTGAGTTTAAAGGTCCCATGTCATGGCCATTTCTACTGATCATAATTCCATTGTTGAGGTATACTAAAATAGATTTATATTGTGCAATTTTCCAAACTCACATTGGTTTCTCAAACAGCATCTCTGTATAGTATGTGTATTCACTCTCTGTCCTAAACGGCTTGTTGGAGCTCCTGCCCCCCCCTCCCTATGAGCCCAGTGGGCGTCTGCGAGACACAGCCCGAACACACACACACCCGCAGCCTGGCTGGGAGTTTGTGTGTGTGCTCACACACCGACTCACAGCCTCGCCGCGTCCCGCCGTCTCAGGGAGGAGAAATCAGCGGAGCTGCAGCTGAGAAAAGATTGAGTGTGTGTGTGTGTGAGGAAGTCCGCGGATTGGTCAATTTGGACCAATCCACGGACTTAACGTAACGGCTCCAATGATTGGTCCATTTGGGTATGGGCACGTCACTGTACCCAGGAAGAAAAAGAGAAATCTCCAACGAGGCGTTCTGGGGCAGCATAGACAGGTATTTTCTGTGTTAAGAGTTTTACTCGCTACAGGGTGTACTCTGAGGGTTTGTGACTTTGCAGATTGTTTACATGCATAAAAACCTTCATAACACACAAGGGGACGGGTAATAACCGGAAAAGCATGACATGTACTTTAGAAACATTTTGAATGCAGGAGTTTTACTTCTAACAGAGTATTCCTACACTTTGGTACTTCTACTTAAGTACAAGATCCGAGTACTTCTCCAACCTGTCACTATGTAACACTCGCTCTTTTATTGGCTGGCGCTCCAAAACATTGTACGTGATAGGCTAAGAGGCGGGACATCTTTAAGCGGTTTACTAATCACAACAGAGCCGGCCAGCTAACCAATCAGAGCAGACTGAGCTCTGGTTTCAGACAGAGGGTGAAAAGAGGTGCTGCAGCACAGGTAGTATGAGAAAAATAAAGAGCTTTTTGAACATTAAAGCATGGAGACATGTCACAGTAGAGGCAAAAAAGACCTGCAAATTAGCATAATATTGTGCACAATGTTACATAAAGAAAACCCACAGTTGGCATAATAAGTTAATGTTTTGTCTTTAATAGCTTGATTCATATCAAAATTCATTTTCTTTCTTTATAAAAATAAAACACTTTCTCTGATTGGAAAGAGCATTGGATCACAGACAGTACATATTTTCAGTTATTTTATCTTTGAAGAGCTAAAACATGCTTGCTGTTAAATTCTTAGAAATGACAGCGTGTTTTGTCACAATAAACTAAAATCCTATTTAGATTAAATTATTCAAGACATTGTCACCCAAACACACAGAGGAAAGGAAAATGGACGAGTGTGGTTGCTCCCTTCCCTTCTGACTGGAGGAAAGTTCAGATCCATTCACGGAAGAAGGATTTTGATTGGTCTTCCACTTTGACCTTTTTATGATACATACATCATGTGTATCAACATATCCTGCAAACACTAAAAGTATAACACTGTCAGTTAGGTGTATCCTCATAAAAACATCACAATTTGAATTATTTTTATAAAATGTGAATAGCACTTTTGACTACTTTTTGTTTGTATCAGCATAAAGAATTGCTTTTATGTTATGAAAATATTCCAGATTGAAGGAAAAATATGTCATTATACAGGGTTCTTACACCTTTTCCAAAGTCAAATTCAAGCACTTTTCAAGCATTTTCAAGGTGCATTTTCAAACTTTTCAAGCATCTTACAGCTGTTGTAAATTACATATTTATATACACATACTTATACTCAAATGATTATTTCCCTACCTCACATTAAATCAGATGTTCTTTATGCTATAAACAACCAAATGTGTGTTTCATAATAGCATTCTACATGAGGATGAAAAATGAAAAATGTTAGAAAAGAAAACTAAGTTTAATATTTCAAAATGTGTGACCCATCTGTACGTAGACTGGGCATCCCATATAACCTGGCTGAGCCAATATAAAACAATCAGCCAAATAACTTTTCAATATATTATTGATTACTATTTTTGAGGTACTTTTAGGTTGGCAGTAAACACAAGTCAGAGGTAAATGGTGTACTTTGACTCCACTACATGTATTTAATACCTTTAGTTACTTTACAGATGTGGATCAATGATGTGAAATATAATCAAGTGTTAAATCAGACTTTAGTTCCACCTGGAGTAAATTCACAAGCTACTCTGTAGTATACAAAGTCATTCAAACTAGCTGCAACTTTACCAGCTTTGATAACACTTTCATGATCAATCATCAGGGTTCTTACACCTTTTCCAAAGTCAAATTCAAGCACTTTTCAAGCATTTTCAAGGTGCATTTCCAAGCTTTTCAAGCATCTTACAGCTGTTGTAAATTACATATTTATATACACATACTTATACTCAAATGATTATTTCCCTACCTCACATTAAATCTGATGTTCTTTATGCTATAAATAACCAAATGTGTGTTTCATAATAGCATTCTACATGAGGATGAAACATTTACATTTTTAGAAAAGAAAACTAAGTTTAATATTTCAAAATGAGACCCATCTGTACGTAGACTGGGCATCCCATATAACCTGGCTGAGCCAATATAAAACAATCAGCCAAATAACTTTTCAATACATTATTGATTACTATTTTTGAGGTACTTTTAGGTTGGCAGTAAACATAAGTCAGAGGTAAATGGTTTACTTTTACTCCACTACATGTATTTAATACCTTTAGTTACTTTACAGATCTGGATGAATGATGTGAAATATAATCAAGTCTTAAATCAGACTTTAGTTCCACCTGGAGTAAATTCACAAGCTACCCTGCAGTATACAAAGTCATTCAAACTAGCTGCACCTTTACCAGCTTTGAGAACACTTTAATGATCAATCATTATAAAACATATCATATACAATTATTAGGGATGCTCCGATCGCCAATTTTGGGGCCGATCGCCGGAATCAGCTTGTTCCAGAGGTAGATAAAATAGCTAAGTGTGTTAGGTCTAACTCTTAATGTGTGTTCTGCTCCGCTCACCGGTCCGTCACAGCGGGTGGAGCTGCAGGATTTCTGCTTCACACACACGTTGCATACCGCTATTTTATTGTCACTTTCGGACACTTAAAATACTGCCAGACTAGTGAAGCCATTTTGGCGAGCTTGTTTTGCCGCGCACAGAGAAAAGTGTCATGTATTTTATATGCAACGATAGCCTAATCTAAAATGCTCTACTATGGCGTACCTTTCGTGTGGTGTGTGGCGTCAGCGCAGACTCTCGCATCGTTATTGTTGCACACTTTGCAGGAGGCTACTCTTGGGCTTCGCTTGACCCTCGTCTTAGCCATGGCTTGTATTTGTCTTCTGCTAGCCAACGCTCGTTGAAACGGCAACCTCCTGGCATACTGTCATCTATCACTCTCATCAGAATGCCCAGGTCACACACGTAACAAAAACACTTGCCGGTCACGCGCATTGCGCGGGAAGGCCGGAGCGGAGCTGTTTTATGTAAAAGCGAAGCAATTAAGCTCGCTCCGACTTCTTTATTTTCTTTTAATCTAAAAAGCGAAGTAAAGCATTTACAATTTCAAGCACTTTATCCCAAATTCAAGCACCATTCCCAAAATTCAAGCACTTTTCAAACCTTGAAAACACCTCGTACAATTTCAAGCATTTTCAAGGATTTCCAGCACCCGTATGCACCCTGAATCATTATAGAAAACATATCATATACAATTATTAGGGATGCTCCGATCGCCAATTTTGGAGCCGATCGCCGGAATCAGTATCGGCCGATACCGATATCGCTCTTTTCCTCTCTCTCTCTCTCCTGACAGCTCGTCAGTATCTCCTGCAGCTCACTGATCCAGTAATGAGCGACCCGACAGTGAAGAATAAATATATTTATAACTAGTTTAGCTTGTTCCAGAGGTAGATAAAATGGCTAAGTGTGTTAGGTCTAACTCTTAGTGTGTTTTGCTCCGCTCACCAGTCCGTCACAGCGGGTGGAGCTGCAGGATTTCTGCTTCACACACGTTGCATACCGCTATTTTATTGTCATTTTCGGACACTTAAAATACTGCCAGACTAGTGAAGCCATTTTGGCGAGCTTGTTTTGCCGCGCACAGAGAAAAGTGTCATGTATTTTACATGCAACGATAGCCTAATCTAAAATGCTCTACTATGGCGTACCTTTCGTGTGGTGTGTGGCTCGTCGTCAGCGCAGACTCTCGCATCGTTATTGTTGCACACTTTGCAGGAGGCTACTCTTGGGCTTCGCTTGACCCTCGTCTTAGCCATGGCTTGTATTTGTCTTCTGCTAGCCAACGCTCGTTGAAACGGCAACCTCCTGGCATACTGTCATCTATCACTCTCATCAGAATGCCCAGGTCACACACGTAAGAAACACACTTGCCGGTCACGCGCATAGCGCGGGAAGGCCGGAGCGGAGCTGTTTTATGTAAAAGCGAAGCAATTAAGCGCGCTCCGACTTCTTTATTTTTCTTTTAATCTAAAAAGCGAAGTAAAGCATTTACAATTTCAAGCACTTTATCCCAAATTCAAGCACCATTCCCAAAATTCAAGCACTTTTCAAACCTTGAAAACACCTCGTACAATTTCAAGCATTTTCAAGGATTTCCAGCACCCGTACGCACCCTGATTATAGTGTTGGTGGTTGAGTTTATATGAAAAATGTTTATTTAATCGTGTGTACACAGTGCAATGTTGTGAATTAATTAACTGACTTAAAAAAAGAAGAAAAGACAGAATTATTCCAGCATTTTTTCCAGTAAGCATAGTATATGTATATCAGTTGCATGTCCGGTGGCGGGTGTCAGAGGGAGCAGGGGTACTTGGTCCAGGGAGGCAGTCTTCCTGTTTCATTTGCCAGCCTCCAGTACCTCTCCTTCAGGATGAATGCTGCCGCTTTGGGCTGCCTCTGCCTGGTGAAAACACCCTTCTTGTTGCCCACCACACGGGTGATCCCTGCAGACACAAGACCACAGGAACTTTGTCATGCACAGGACATAAGAATATACCCTTTAAAACGTAGCAAGACTTAAGAAATCTGGTTATTAATATCCATTACATTAAGCTTTCACAGTCATAAGAGGTGGCTATTCAGTCTAACGGAAGATGTGTAGACAGCATTCCTGATACTGATATCTACAGGGAGCTTTTAGAGCCAAGATGGCAACAGGTTTGTTTTTGTTGAGGAGTACCTGATTCCCACTGGCAGTGAGGGAGTGGGGAGCCGATTGGCTGATGCAGAGCGCAGTGTAAGTTTAGGGTTATGATGAGGCTACTGATCATCTGTGCAGACGTGTCTTTCACACATCTGTGCTGCAACACGTTTGTCCATTGTACAACTAGTGTAGGAGCCACATGTGAAGTATTTTCTGTGTTTGTTATGTCACATTTTTTTAGTCACTATATGTGGTGGGCGTGTCTATTGGATTTGTGTGGTTATATCCGGTTGCTTTTACCTGTGCACTTTGTCATAGATGGAGGGGGAGTGAGCTGGAGAAGGACAATTTTTGTTGACCGCATGCACGCATACGCAATCACTATACTGGATATGGACTAGAAATAATTGTATGTTTGCTTGTTTTGTTTGCAAATAAAAGGTCAAACGCATACCAGTGTAAATACTTATTTTTCTCTTGTTTAGTCCCTCGTGGCACTAATATTGGATTACTACAGCCGCAACAACTAGTATTGATAAAAGTTCTCACAAATTGGAGAAAAAGGATCTGATGAGCTGATAACTAAATCGTTTTTTTTTAAAAAAACAACATAAAAAACACGATGGCGGGAGAAGTTGTAAAGAAGAGTGTCAGTGTGTGCAAACCCAGAGGGCCCAGGATACACACATTAAAGGCGTTATCCTCAGCTGATGTTTTTTTGTCAGCTAGCTTAGTAGATAACGCTTCCTGGCTCTGTTATATGGTTGGAGGTTGTAGTTTTTGAAAAGGATATAGTTCCTATACGTCTGTGGATTATCTTGCGCAACAGGGTCATGATTTCTGGAGAGAGATATGTTGTTGACTTGAACCACATACTGGGTGGCCTCCTCCAGTGCCTATATCTTGGCTTCTCACACCAAAACAATCTAGATGGATACTGTTACGACCCCCTCCACTCCACTAGGGGTCTCTGCCTTTGTGTTCTGCTGGCTGGCTCTTGTTTGTGTTTCAGGCGATCAACCTGATGAGCCACACCTGGGCCGTCGACATAAAAGGCCAACACCAACCCATACTGCCCTCTCACTCTTCTTTGTTTCTGCACATTTTCCCACACCCATACACGCAATCATTACTGATAACTGACTTCCACGTTTATTAGGTTTCTTTGAAGACCTTTGGTTTTGGTTATAGTAAATAAATACGCTTTTTGTTACACTTAACTTGTCTGGTCTCCCATCTTTGTTGCAGCCTATGAACCAGGCCGTAACGAATGGGGGCTCGTCCAAACTTTTTGACGTTGGCCGTTTATCAATCGCGAGGATATTGGCTTCCAAGCCAATATTTCAAGGATGCTACATCATCGAGTGCCGCCGAATGACTGTTCCAATCTCCAGCATACTTGGAATTCCACCGAGGCCGCGTCCTTAGTTTGGGGGAAATTTCGAGGCTGCACATGGGTAGACTTCGCGTCCTTAAAATCCCCACAATGCTTTGCGCATGGACCAATTTCCCCAAATCTGTGGCGGAAGATGTAAGGCGTGGCCTCTCATATGACGCACACCTGCACACTTGCTAGCCTGTTCCACTCTTTGTTTTCCGAATGCCAGGAAGTATTCTTGCCTTGCTTCTGAAGCAAGATGCTCGGCTCGGCTGTGCTACCAAGTCAGCATCCTCGCGATTGAGAAACGGCCATTGTTTCTAATTCTGTAGTGCAGCCATCTTTTTCTGCTTGTAAGTGGATTGAAGGGCTGAGACTGATTACAACAATCAGATCAGCTGTAACTTGGTAGGCAGGTGCACCTCGTTGTGTGCATGCTGGTTGTTTGGGAGACATGGACAAGTGTGGTGAGTAGATGTTTGTTTTTGTTGGATAATGTAAGCAGTTGTAATGAAATGCAGGTGTGTGGTGTTTTTGTTTTTCGTCGCTAAGATGTAGCCGATTTTTGGTGGTCCTGTGAGTGTCTTTCACTTCTGTCCCTGTAGGCTTCAGAACGGACTCCCTTTGGAATTCGTTGGGGGGTTTTAGTGTGGTGTGGACGTGGTTAGAGCAATTAGCTCGGGAGCACGTCCAAAGCTGCGGGTGGAGTTGCTGGTTGCTTTACCGGGCTTGTGGGTTTCAGTGCATAAATACCCACCATAAATAGCACATGAAGACTAGGGGGGAGTTTAGGTAGTTTCTGTTTGGTTTGGTAGATAGAGGGACATGACTGCTGTTGTATGTGCTATTTGAGATCGGCTGCAAATGTGTTAAGTGACATTGCAATGTTTACATGAGTGTTTGTTTTAATGTTTGTGTTTTCCTGTTAGTACTTAATCCTGGTAAACGGTTTGGCTTTATTAGTTCTAAAACAAGTCTGGGTTGTGGTGATATCTTAGTGCAGGATGTTACAGTGGTTTATGTGGAAGTAATCAGATGGTAGCAGGAGGGAAGTGCAAAATGGTAATTTGTTGGAAGTGTCTACAAGTGGTTAGTTAGACCTGTAAGCTTCGGGAACACAAGCGCTGCAGTTCATGCCTTGGTTGGGTGAGCTTTGCGTAGTTTTGTTGCCTCTTTGTGCTGTGCTTCTGAGGAAGACTGATTCTAGTTTGTGATAGCTGGAATCTTGGTGAAGGCAAAGCTTTAGCAAGCTTTGTCTAGCTGCAGGTAATTTGTCGGACTCTGGTGAATGTTTATCTGTTTTTGGACCTCCTGTTAATGCTCTTCCATGCATGGCCCATCACCCTTCTCTTCAGTGTGTGTTCTCTCTGATCTCCATCTTTCCTGTAATCTCTTAAAAGGCTTCTTCAGGCACTAGAGTTGCTGGGTTGGAAAATGGAGACTGGGTGAACACCGATATGAAATTCAAACCGGTCAGTATGTAACATGTATATGTAATTTTGAACTTTGCATTTCAATATTATTCTGTGTTGGTTGCTATGTTTGGACGGTGTTCCTAAGGGGAACCCCTTTTTTTAAGGGGGGGGGTGGTGTTACGACCCCCTCCACTCCACCAGGGGTCTCTGCCTTTGTGTTCTGCTGGCTGGCTCTTGTTTGTGTTTCAGGTGATCAACCTGATGAACCACAACTGGGCCGTCGACATAAAAGGCCAACACCAACCCATACTGCCCTCTCACTCTTCTGTTGGACACGGCCGCGTCTTTGTTTCTGCACATTTTCCCACACCCATACACGCAATCATTACTGATAACTGACTTCCACGTTTATTAGGTTTCTTTGAAGACTTTTGGTTATAGTAAATAAATACGCTTTTTGTTACACTTAACTTGTCTGGTCTCCCATCTTTGTTGCAGCCTATGAGCCAGGCCGTAACAGATACATAGAACTGCAGGCGCAGTGTATAAACTGGGAGAAATAACAGCAACTACGGTACCTTGCACCGTCATGAAGTCAGCAAAGTTCCAGATGAGTTCGCCGATCACATATTGCTTCCTCTTCTGGTCGAATACGTCGTGGCAGCTCTTCAGGACCACCTTCTGGTACTCCTCAGTAAACATCGTGGGTGGATCCTAGAGAGGAAATGAGACATTAGCAAGCATTAGCATGCTTCTGGGGAAACAAATCCAAAACAGATTTAGGGAGGCGGAGGAAGACAAAATCATTAATGTATTACAGGCTATCAATGCTACAAAAAAGAAAGTAATACAAATACTGGTGCACTGCAGTGGGGTGAATAGAGTTCTTACACTGTGAAGCCCTGGCACTGCATCGGCTCCATATTCACTCTGGATGATGGGCTTCTGGTACTTTCCATACCAGTTCTCAAACTGAGTGTTGAGCTGAAGGGGGATGACCTCCAGGTGGCCGGGGTCGTGGTACCAGGAGAAGTAACTGTTTATGCAGATCACATCCACATAGGGAGCCTAGGGATGAGAGAAAATACTTAATATGAGTCTTAAAGATACTCTTCACAATTTTTAAATGTTCTTTTTGAGAGTAAATTAGAAATTAAGAAATGAGGCAAGATACAAACCATTATTACCTTACAGAAGAGTGAATGTTTGCACGATATAAGGAATTATGGACTGGCAGTGTTTTTCCCTTTTGGCCATGACAGAGTGAAGCAGCAGTAATTTCTCACACAGCCAGTTATTTGCCCTTAGGTTAATAAATAGTGGCTGCAGGTAGTCGGCTAAATAACCAGTACCTTTAGGTTTGGAATTACACCCCGAAAGATATTCCTCACAGCCCAGGAATGTGGGGCATGTAAACAACTTAGTTTGACATTGGGTTTGCAACCTCTGAAGGTCAGCAGGATAACACACACTTTTACATCAGGCCTTTAAGTCTGATCATGACTGATCTTCTTTACTTTATGTATATAGACTATATATATTAAGTAAAGAAGATCAGTCATGATCGCACAGAGACACACTTTTTCCACATTACCGGTAGTTATCTTCACTCTACATAATGTGTAGAATTGCAGAATAATTATCCGATTATATCATCAGTATCTGCCCTTAAATAGATACAGTATTTTTGTACTTATCCCTAGTTTCACATGTTTTAGTTTTTTCCCCCTGATGTCATCCAGAACAAAACCAATGATGTCAAGCAACTGTTGCTTTTGAAATGTATCATAAAATCCAATATGGGAAAGTGTCAGTATCTGATTTTAAAAAGTGAGTATCTCATATGTTCTGCATTCACTGGCTTCATGTTGAATATCATAAAAACTCACCCCTTTGTCCCGGGCATAGTGACTGTTTGAGACGTAAGTGACGGGCCGGGTTGGATCCAGAGCTTTGGTGTGTTGTATCAAAGTCCTGTAAGAGAAACATAGTTTTTGTTTCATGATAACGTTTTGTATAGTCATTACAATGTCACAAAGGGCTAACTTTTGTTGTTAAAAAAACACCATATCTGTATTTTCAATATGTGTCTTGTCCACCAGTCATCCAGAAAATGTTGCACACAGAAACCATTCACACAGTCTGATGCATATTTCTATTCTATTTTTGAATATATTCCCACAACAAGAAAGTTAACTACATTGGTCAAATGGACATCGTTAGTCCAGGATGTGCCTATGGAATGAATAACATTAGCAGGAAATTGTCATTTAGCTGCTTAGAGCTCAATCCCCACCATCTAATCTTCATACATCCTTTGCTTTGCGATCAGTACAGAACATCTCAGTTTGTAAAGCTAATTGAGTAATCATGAGGGAGTGTTTATTTTGCTCAAAGTCTTTTAGTCTGTTAGTCTGCATGCATTTCCGTTGGACTCGTGGGCACAGTTTGTTCTCGGCACACACCTTTTAGTCTGTTAGTGTGACATGCATGTATTTCCGTTGGACTCGTGGGCACAGTTTGTTCTCGGCACACACCCTATGCTGCTTTTTTTTACGGTTACGGCAGTAGAGCAGGTTGAGCCTCAGGCAGATACTGAGCTCCAGCTGTTAGTGTTCAGGGCAGGTTCACTCTTACTGCATTCCACACAGAGGAAAAAAGGGATAGGCTCTGACTGAATAACAAACAAGTACACCCCTACAGCAACACACACACAGAGTGTCTAAAGCTTCAAACCTTTTAAAAGTTTGTCATAGGATAGGATAGGATAGTTAGTTTTTGGGATAGAAAGTGAATAATCCTGCACCCAAAAGGACCAGATATATCAGTTTTGGTACTTTGATGAGTGGATCTAAACAAGACTTACTTAAAATAGAATTCAGCAGGGGGCATCTCTGAAGCCGGCTCATTGGCTACTGACCACATGACCACGGATGCGTGGTTCTTGTCCCGGCGTACAAGCTCGTCCATCACGTCCAGGTGATGGTTTAGGGAGGCGTTTCTAAAACTGCGACTGCATCAGCAAGGCACAAAAAACAAAGAAACTGAGTTGACATCTTCTATAAAAAACATTTGTACGATTTTGTACATGTGATTAGTTACCTTTTTATCCCCTTAAACATTCTACATTACTGTCTTGCAGAGGATGTATCGGGCTCAGGTTTAAAGCTAGAGATACCGGTACTAGTATCATATGAAACTAGATACCATAAAGGCATCCATTTGCACAACCCATAGAATGTTAGCTTTTGGGATGCAATAGCGCTCCAAAGTTAGGCTACATTTTGTGTAGGGAAAAACTTGTATGGCCATATTCACAGGGGTCTCCTGACCTTTCACCATAAGATATCTGATTGGAAATGGGTTCTGTGAATACCCATGAGTCTCCTATTTACATACAAGCCCAAGTTCTGCTCTTCCTATGCAGTTTTGGGCAAACACCATGCAGAATGGTACAAAAATCATGCAGTGTTTAGCATGCAGAATGAATGTGTTGTTCATTTTAATATTTCTGCATGGTGGGTTCCCTTAATAGTCTTGGAATTGCATCAACTGGGGGGGACTTGTAAGCTGAGAACTTGAATATGAAGACCCCATTATACTTTTTAGTGACCATAATAGCCATTTAATTGACAATTTTTTAAACGTTATACTTTACTTTGTATAAAATGAGCTGTTGTGAGCTCTAGGTTGATCACAGCCTCATGAAACTCCATAAACACAAACCATAAACCCAGGTAATTGAGGAGATTTTTCTTTTGTAGGTATATTAACAATAAGGGAGATTTTTGAGTAATTTACTTCCATCCAATCGCCAGAGGGGAGAGGAAGAGGTTAACCCGGCTCATAACTCTACCCAAAGTTAATATGAAATACTTTATTTTCAATACGCTGTTGATAATATGCAGCTTATTATTATTTCCCAAAGTGGGTTTTTCCAATCTGCAACTTAGCTGCAAACTAAGGGTGAAAACAGTCAGGAGGTTTTCAGGAGTAGCGATGATGGACTCCTCTGTCTCTTTCCTTAAAACGCTCTTTCTACCAGTCACATGTTCATGCAGTCGCCCACTCAGAACCTTCAAACACATCCAAAGGTCAGAGGATGAGAGCGGTGACACCTACATGTCTTTGATGCCCACCCCCGGGCACTCGTCTATCACCACGATGCCGTGGCGGTCACACATCTGCAGGATCTCCTCAGCGTAGGGGTAGTGGCTGGTGCGGAAAGAGTTGGCCCCCATCCACTTTAATAGGTTGAAGTCTTTAACAATAAGGGACCAGTCAAAGCCTTTACCCCGAATCTACAACACAAGGGAAAAAGTGGAAGGGAGGATTTATTGTAATGAATAACCTTTTTATATCAAATGTCCTGTTTTTTTAAAATCAGAAATATATTGTCTGATGACGTGAGGTCATGTTACAACAGATATGTTGCTTTCCTCTAGTGGTACTCACATCAGAGTCCTCGTGTTTATTGACTCCATGGAAATAGAAGGGCTTCTTGTTGATGAGGAACTGTGTGCTGGTAACACTGACGGTGCGGATGCCGACTGGTAGAGTATACACATCCTCATGCGTAGATCTCTCATTGGCTGCCTTGAGGCGAACCTAGAAAAAAAAGTCAGAAAAAAGATTTCTTGCAAATCTTTCAGGTGACATAGTAAATAGAAGTGCTGAATACCTAACAACTAAAGCTAGTCAAGGAGTTCTAAAACAAGATAACACACAGAAAGGAGGCGCAAACATTTCAGTTGAAGAAGAAAAGTGAAGGGTGTTAAGATGTTTTCTGAGATTCAAAGAGACATTTGCTGTTGTCCAGGAATACATCACATACAGCATTACTATTATTACAGTGCTTAGCTTTAAAGTTGTGGTACAATGGGATAATTTTACATTATTGTATTATTATAAAAATGTGAATAGCTTCTCCTCCTGACTTAAAGGTGGGGTAGGTAAGTTTGAGAAACCGGCTCGAGATACACTTTTTGTTATATTCCATGGAATGCTCTTAACATCCCGATAGCAATGAATATCTTAAGTGCTTTGACATAAAATCCATACAAAAATGTCATCTGTGGAAGCAGTAATACTGTACAAAGCACGACCAATCATTTTAGCCGGCCCGGCTAAAATAACTGGATGGCCTACCTGCCTGTCAGCCTTCCATCTGTGCACAAAGTTATCTCATTGGTCATGTGCACGTGCGTGTGTGTTGGAGGAGGGGCTCTGTAAGGAAGTGGCAGATTTTTTCTGGCTGTGTATTTTCAAATCTAGCGCACTCGAGCTGGTTTCTCCAAAATTACCTACCCCACCTTTAAAGGATGTTAATATTAATTTAACATGGAACACTATAAAGAATGTTTTCACTGTGTAGGAGCCATTTTATGGGTGTTGTTGGTGTCTCAGTTTACTTTATATGTATAGTGCAATACTATTTTGAACACTTGGTGGCGGGGTTTAGATGCACCGGGTGTATAAAAGGGGTCATAGGTGACAGGAAAGGACGAGGACACAGGAGGAAAGAGCGTACCGATTCCACCAGCCCGGCAGATGCTCACCACAACCATTGACTTTATATTAAACCTTGGTATGTAAAACGCTAAATAAACAACATTCTAAACTGCAGCAAAGGACCGGAGATTCATCTGTTTGCGTCTGGATCACTCTCCAACCCTCCAGTGAAGTAATGGCAAAAGGATATAGGACATTGGAACATTAAAATTGCCATTACACACTGTTTTACCCTCCAAACTGAGCACCATCACAAGGTAGAGGATGTAGTCTTATCATCATACTGATGTAAATATGCTGTTACCTGCATTATAAACGGTTTACACCATGGACTAAAAAATGGATTCTTATTTTTTTTAAGCTGACTGAATGTCTGTCACACATATTCATGTGACCTGACCTGATAGTCATATTGACTAACATGCTGTCTTACCTCCATAGAGTAAAGGTACCCTGGACTCTCATGCATCAAATACGGCCACCACAGATTGACATCTACTACTTTGAGCACTCCAAATGGCTCGGTGGAGGAGGCCACACAGTGGCCATCTTTGTCCATCAGAGTGACCTTCACTCTGGCTGTGGTAGCACCTTGGACTGATACCTTGTAATTGACTTGACCTGAAACAAAGGGAAAACAACTCTATGAATAAAGTCACATAACTACTCTTCTTTGGTTTAGATCCCATGTAGCTTTATTGAGCAGTTTCTTCTTTTATAAGTTATTTGGTGGTCATGAGTATTTCAATTACTTTAAAGTGTGCATGCATTATTTACCAGTGTTATCCAAGAAGTCCGTCACCACAGTGATGTCATCCACATAGGCCGTAGGAGTAGTATACAGCAATACAGGTCGATGTATACCAGCGTAGTTGAAGAAATCAAAGTAGATGTTTTGCACAAAAAAGCCTTTCGGATACCTATTAAGCAAATATATTAACCTCATTATCTACATACAAATTGACACGTATTTTGCCCCAATATGACATAAAACCAGAAGAAAAAAAAGCTAGATTTGTAAAGCACTGGAATTATTTACAATTCCTCACAGTTTTAGACATTGTAACATGGACAAAAGCAGATTAAGTGTCACTTATTGTGTAATTGATGAAAGCAGTTCAGGTAAGAATAATTATGCAAACTTGTTAATTGCCATTATTAAAAAGTGGCTTAAATGAATCTGAGCAAATAAGTTTTCTTCAGTTATGTTAGCTCACACAATAATTTAGGCAAGCGTCATATAGGGTTTTGTTTAAAGATAAAAAGTGTTTAGGTTACTTGGTGATGTCGTCGATGTGCTGGATGCTTCCTGGAGGAAGAGTCTCCAGAGTCAGAGTGTTGTTGACGGCGATGGTGATCCTGCATGGCTGGATTGGATCCTTGCGGATTAAACTGCCTACCTCAGCCTCAAAAGGAAGATGGCCGCCGTTATGCTCTGTCACCTTCACCCCGTTCACCCACTGCAAAGGGTAAATAATTCAAATTAGCCTGATGTCATTATCACAAGAGATGGAAAATGGATCAACAGAATAATTTTTTCCAGCAGATGACTTATTTTTCTATGTGTGACTGGAATGGTTTAGGGAAGCTACATGTGATATACTCACCACTATTGAGTAATAGTGAGCACTTCCCACTCTGATAACCACTCTTGTTCCTTCATCAGTGATCCAGCGTGCAGGCACCACCACCTCACGCTCATACCACACCCAGCCAATGAAATCTCTCAAAGTGGGGTCCTGCGTGATGTCATTGTAGCTGGCAGGAACTGGCATGTCAATCACTGGGCCCGTCTAAGGAAAACAAAACAATGAAAAGGCAGTATTTCATTATTAAGAGCGGATCTGCTGTAGTTGGTGATGAGGTTGGTGTAACTGGGATGATTATGATTGAATCAAAACTTATTATGGGGAGTTAATAGTAGCCATTTTTACCTGTTTCAGTGGTGCAATTTGCCTCTCATGACATAATATAGTTTGGCCTTTGTAATAATGATGATTTGAAAGATGACGTATATTGACAATGTTGTAAAATATGTGCACAGGTCAATACATTGCTTTGCACTTTTAATATGCCTTGCCTTATGAAAGGAACATGTTTATTAGTTGTAGATTTCTGCACAGCTACAGGATGTATACAGAAAAAGTAGTGCACGGAGTCTCACAGTGCTTACAAAGATGCAATGAGGTCGTTGCTTCAGTTTCCCAGGTGTGAATGGGGCCAGTCAACTGTGCTCTCTGGTGTTGCCACATATGAAAACACTGGCGCTATGTAGACTGCATATGAATTGCTTTTTTATTGCAATTGACCTTTTGAGTCAAAACAAAGGTTCAATGGAGTCTACGTTTATAGCTTTTCAACGAAAATGAATGTACACGTGGGTTATTTGACCCCTTGTCGGTAACTTATCTCATTCAGTAGTTATGAGAGTATTCAAACTAACTTTTTTAACTAAAACGCGAGCTGCTTTATGTTTCCGTTAGCTTCCCTGCTGCTCACCTCCCTCAGGCGACTTTTGTACCATGCCTTGTCGAAGCCCTGGTTCCTGTTTGGAGACTTGTCAGCCCTGAAGCTCCAAAGCCCGCTCAGCTCCTTCACCTCCCTGGAGGAAGACTCCCGGGGGAAGAGCATGCCGGTGTCCAGCAGACATGCCGCTTCGAACAGAGCAAACAGGCACAGCACACGGAACAGCCCGGGCCTTTCAGGTGAGAGCATCCTGTGCAAGTCTGCTAATTCTGCCCACTCGGAAAGTAGCTCCGCAGGTTTCCTTTGCTTACTCAGTCACATGATTTGAGTTTTTGTAATCACGTGACAGGAGAGTAGCTTTATCGTGCTGCTTTCGCTTACTGTCGGAAATTGCTCAATGAAGAGGTGAGCAGAACATTAGCCATCATTTTGTCGTCCTACCCCACCAAATTAAAACGCCTGGCTTGTTAATTGAAAAAATCCACAACACGAGAAAATGAATACTTTATTCTAAATTAACATTATATTCTCAGCACTGGCTGAAACGATATCATCCTTCACGGAAGCAATGTTGAATAGATGACACTAGATGGCGCCAGACACTTGCTCATCAAAGTCAACAAGAGTGCAACCGAGCACAGAAGCATCCTTTACCTCTTGTAAAAGTGTCCAATAGGCCTGGAGATGTGTCAGGGTCATTCTATTCTATCAATCTTAAATTCTGCATATAAAATGTTTGGGAGGTTTGAATTCAGAAAAATAATATATTTGGAAATGTATGCATCCATTCATAAGTATAAGGTGCAACATTTTCAAGGTTAGACTGAAGTACTCAAAGGTATTCAGATAAAATCAGACTACTGTTTTTGTATCAAATGGATAACATGATTTATAACAAATATTCCATGTCATGAGTAGTCATCAACTAACTACATTTCCAAATAATCTGACCAACCCTGTTTTTTCACAGACTGTAGATGCTCAGTCTGAAGTGAGCTGTGAGAATACTTCACTGGAATTTGGGGAGTAGATTTTTCAGCTGAGTCAGAAGGTGTATCCTACTGCAAAATTATTAAAATTGTCCACCTCCTCAAACATGTAATACTAACCTGTTTATCTCTACCAATTTATAAAGCAGTGGTTGATGTTTTGTGTCCACAACAGGTTCAGTTCTCTATAAGTTGCAGGTTGTAATATAACATTTATAAGACCCTGGTGGCCCTGGGGTGTCAGGCTCTGACCATGAACTGCTGCTGAACCCAGAGGTCCGTCTGCTTGTGATTCATTGTTGCCTGTAATTTCCCATCCGTCTTTCCCCTTTCTGTAAACTATCTGCAATCAGAATGCTAAGAAGGTATAAAAAAAATCTATAACAAATCTCTATTCAATTATAGCACTTGTAGTCATACATATTTTGTTGGGGGAGACAAATGTGAAGCAATGTCTTAGTTTTGTCATATGTCTTAGTGATCCAAAAGGAGTGAATTGGGAGTGATTTATAACAGCACTATTCTGGTCATGCAAAGGTATTTAAAGAGAATTGTGATGCATGATCTTAAAGTGCACATTTGTGGAGCAATTATTAGCGTAAGAACGTATTTCTGAAGATCTTTAGGGCAAGATAAGGTCACAGAAACTGAACAGTTGTGTTGGAGTTTTTGACTTCCTACTGAAATAGATTTTGATGTGAGGAAAATGCTATAAAAACATCATGCAACACTGTTACCGGCAGTAAGTCTATTTATGTCAGTTTTTGACTATTTCCTAATAACCTGGCTGTATGTTGAAATGAAGTTTTACAAGTATCTGTAGTCTCACTGAATGGACCCGAACATGCCTAAATCCACTTTTGGTCTACTCTACATGGGACATTGGCTATCCAGGTATGTTTATAAGCCCTGATTGCACCAAATGGACGTGTTCCCACGTAACTTCTAAATCCCAGAGGGAGTGATTCCACAGACTCTTGCAGATTGAAAGGCGCAATACTTTCTTTGTATTTCACTTATATATGTCTGACATTTTCTTTAAGCGTATAACCCCTGGTTCCCCTCCAACATTTTGTTCTGATTCATTCTGGCTTTCTCGTTAAATCAAAATGACTGGAGTTGAAAACTATCCCCAAGAGAAAAGGAAATCAGCTGAATTTAGAATTCTTTCCTGTTAAAGTTATGTTGTCTGGCAAAAGACGTTTGATGCACTGTGCTTCTTAAGCACATATTTAAGTGACACAACCAACCAACAGAGCTGCGATTCGCCTGAAATTATTATAAGTTTGATATTGAGTTCAGTGTTAATTTCTTGTATGAAGAATCTCTCAAGTCATTTTCCCACCAATTCATTTGGGATGAATCAAAAATAAAAGTACTTTTAATGTATTTTTGGAGCTTTTCCTTTGGTTCCCATGTCAGTGTTGTCGTATGTTCTACATACCTAACTTTTGATGACAAATCCCTGTGGCAAAAATCAAATGGTCATTTCAAAAAGTATTCAAGCCTATTGCCACCATCTGTTATTGTTGACCTTTTATGATGCAGTTGTTATCGTCATGGCTTGCAATCTTCGTTAAGGCAAATAATGTGCTTTTCCATATTGGATTGATTTGATCCAGGAGAGCTGAACAAATAAGTACATGTTGGGGCATGCATGCACATTTTGTATTGCTGAAATGACACAGGTTCTTTAGAATGTGTTTCACAGAGCATTAAATGACTTCAAGCCATACTCACTTGGCTTCCCACTAGTGATGTGACATTCGCGAACGATCCGATTCTTTTGAACGGCTCTTTGGTATGAACGAAGGGAACCGAGTCCTACTTGTTGAGAGCCGTTCTTTTTAACGTTGGTTCTCTGCCTGCCATAAATCCACTCACCTTCACTGGGAACTTGCTTTCCTGAATGCAAATGTTCCATAGATGATGGCATAACACATGCTGCTTGAGTAGTAGTTTGGCTGGCTGAGAGATGTAGCAAGCTATACATTTTCTGTGTGTAAAAGTAGATTCTGGCAATACAGTCAATCATTATCCTGGTGATTATTTCGCAGGTAAACCTATTAACCCCGCCCCCTTAAAAAAAAAACGGCTCTTTTGAACGGCTCTTTTGAACAGCTCTTTTGAACGGCTCTCGGAAAGGAACGGAGCCATAAGATCCGACTCCCTTCAAAGAGGCGTAATTCCCATCACTACTTCCCACAATGCTTCATAGGCAGCATTTTATTTCCTACCTGCTCTTACTTTTCGACTCATCAGTTTTTAATATTAATTTCACTCCTTCCCAAAAGTTACCCGCCCCAAAACTTTTTTTTTGCATGGGTGAAAACACATCTCTACCCCAAACAAAGAACCTCTTTGACTTAGCAATTTAGTTAAAGGAACAATCTAGTGCTGTGGTTACTCATCTCAGGCATGGTGTATCTTTCTTTTTCCGTGAAAGTACTATCTTTGCAGCCTCTCTGATATAGAGCCATGCAGCTAAAAAAAACACTCAGAATGCTCAGAGGAGCTGTGGGTTACAAAATAAGTCATACCCTTGGCTGATAAAAAGAACAGTCAGAGTCACTGCCATTACAGAACAATGAGGCAAAGATGGTTCAGCATTTTGCAAATATGTTCTTTAGACCATTTTGTTGTCCTAAAAATGTTTTGTTCTTTAATCTGTACAGCAGTAATCGTCATTTGCATTTACTCGGCAGTTTATGATTGAGGGATTAACATTGAGGGAACGTAATGTAAGCCTATATGGTTGCTTTTATTAATATAAATTGCTATAAATAAATAGGAATAAAAGTGGCTTAGGTCTTTCTGTGTGCTTTTCCAACACCCAGAAACCAAAAACACTTGGATGTTAAATATTGGGGTTAAAAAAGTCTAATCACAAATCGTTAGCCTAAAACCATCTGTCAACAACTTTCATGTGGCAGGATACACTCAGTAGAGTATTTTAAACTGGCCAAAAACAGAAAAACATGCTGTACGAAGGGCTGGGCCCCTCACTAGTGGTGACGCACATTGCCTCATAAGTTAAGTTATAAGTTAGCAAAATCAATCAAATGTAGGTCAATTAAGCTTGATACTCTAATATGCTTTGACAAAATAAACCGCCTGCATCACAGCTTTCCATAGGGTTTCATTTATTTTGTTACAAAATGTGTTGGCAGCTCATTCCTTAAAACAGTAGCCTCAGATTGCTTATAATAATGGAAATGTTAGGGGCATTTTTCAAGCTTGATATGGAAATAAGTGAATGGGCTTTCTGATCAACTACGATTTCTTAGAAACATGTTTAAATTGACTGAATTTATTTGAAAATTGGGCTTATTAACTCATGAAAATTACTGTGTCATTATATGTTAAGAAGTACAATATAAGAAAAGTGCAAGTTTCAGGTGTAGGCTTAGATGTTCGAGGGTAAAAAACGGTATCGGATTGTTATTGGTATTGGCATGGTGTCATTAACTGTATGTTGTAGCACATGAAAAAACTGTTATCAAGCCATCCTAGTTTCTACCTTATTCAGAATGTGGTAAACTAGTTCTCAATCAAATATAAAGTCAGCTCCAGAAGCCCAGACTGCAAAGAGAAAGCACCATCAAAGAGAAGCTCTTCAGCTGTCATCTTTCTGAAATTCAGCTTACAAGTTATTTAAGGTTCTGTGACATCGTTTTATTCCTTTCTCTCAGGCTGTCATTTTCTAAGCACATGTCATTTTTTCATCTTTGGCATGCTGTAGAAGATCTTTTTGAATTTGATAGTTGGCGAAAAATAAAAAGCAGTCCGCAATTTTTTTTAACAGTTCTGAAAGGGGGTTCATCCATGCATTATTGATAGGTAAGCATGGGGGAAGGAGAACTACAAAGGGCGGGAAAGAGAGATAAAGGGAGACTCAATTCCCCAAAGCCAGCATTTTTGCTGATATGCTTTTCACAATGTTGCTGTGCCTGGGTTACCATAACCTCAGTGATGAAAGCACACACAGACATGTTCAGTTGTGCCGGGATGTAATAGTTTTAGTTCTGGTTGGATTGCTCAGTAAAATACATTGCCTACCACTAAAAGAACATGTGTACCACAACAGATATGAAGAGAAAAACATGCAATACAAGGATAGTTGCTGGCCTCAGGGGAATGGGGTAAACATTTCTTTCTAAAACATATCACCATGAAACCTCCCCAGTTGAATACTTTAGGGCAGTTAATGTTTTTTGAAGTTTTTTGTTTAAATATATACACGAGGCAATGCATTATCTTACTAAATAGTGCTATTTACATACCTTTCCACAACAGAAATCTGAACAGTGGATACATTCAGGTTTACAATTCT